ATACATCCTGGGCCTGTGGAAGAGGAGGGCATGGAGACTATGTGAGAGCTACATGCTCCTTAGGTGGGGGTAGCCTGTTTACAAAGTAAGGCAGGGAAAGAAGCTGCTTGCTGCCATTCCTCCAGTTTGCTCTGGCTGTTTGCTGTTTGGCTGCCATTCCCCCCCTTTGCTCTTGTTGCTTTGCTATCTTCTGCCTCAGAGCCAGCCAAGTATGGACTGAAACCTCCACAAACTGTAAGCTAAATAAACCTTTCCTTCCTTCATTTTGGACGTTGGGTATTTTGTCTCAGCAACGACAGAAAAGTAACCAAGACAGTCAGTAACTTCAACATCCAGAGAACCCCACCTCACCTCATTGCCAATGCCACTTCAGGGAAGTATGGCTGGCCACCTCAGCAGGCTGCCAGAAACATACATGATCACGAAACTTCTGAGTATAAACCCCATCCTCTCCATCTCTCACACTGATTCCTACAACAGAACAACTTCTGGTCTCTTAGTTATATTAGAATCCTGGCTAGGGATACAGCTCAGTGGCACAAGCACCTGCCTGGCAAGCACAAGGTCCTGAATTCAATTCCTGGTACCAAAAAAAAAATCTGGATTCCTTTACATTGTTACGATCAGTAATTTCATACTTCTTGTCTAATGGGAATCATCTGTGTGGAAACAGTCTTCACAGTTTGATTCTGGGGACACAAGATGCCAAGATACACACCTAGCAGTAGTTACACCAATGACCTTTTATGTATAATAGCTACACTGAAATCCTCACCAATAGAGTTGTGGGGTTTACTGGTAGGCAAGAGACAGATGCAGAGTTTATTCATTTTCCCATTCTAGATTCATCATCTCCTTTGCTGTGCTTGAACTATTTTTCTTTGGTAAATGCATGAAGCCAGGGCAAGATTTTTTTTCCTTCAGATTTATAAAGTAGCCACTTAAGCTACAGATGATAAACTGTACAGTTGGTCCACACGAGCATAAAGCAGTGTCATAGCCAGAAAGCTTCAAAGGGAGGGAAATGAGAAATCCTCGTACATGGGCACCAAAGACAAATTTCTGTTTTTACCTCTGGGATAGCGATGGTGAACCCTTTAGAGCTTTCAATAATACAAGCAGCCTGCTTCGCCATACATGCCATAAGGTTGCCACCACTGCTCTAAAATCTTGGAATTCTAGGTAAAAACTGACATGGAAACAGATCCATTTTCAACTGATACTTGCTTTAGCCAGAGAAGAACAAGTACAGAATACCTTTAGCATCTATGAGATAAGAAAATGAGCACAGAGGCCTGAGCCCAGTGGTCACGGACAAAATTTGAAATGATCATTTCCTGTTATAGGATGATGAGGTAAGACACTTGAGCAAAGATAATAACAGGATCAGACAGAAGCCTAAATTTATGCAGAGCTTAGGTTGGATCCTCAATACCTCCCAATTCCTTGCTTATGATAACATGAGACATATTTCCCTTATCAAAAAGTGATAACCACGCTAAGCACATGTATCACTTTTATAGCATGATTTACTATTCACCATCCTCAGCTAGGCCTGAAACTTGGGGGTAATTTGCATCTCCCTTTCCAGGTGGGAACCTATAACTAGATTGTACAAACAGTAGAAGAATGAAAAAAGAATAGAATTAGTGAGTCTTAAAACTGAAAAGAGTAGTAGAGTTAGCCTAATTCATAGCCTCTTTCCTAATTTTACAAATGAAGAGTTAAAATGAGTTGATGTAATTCTCTTTGAGCTGCAGTCCAGTTCCCCAATATGGCAGGCACACTTATGGAAGGGGAGATCTATTAGCTTTTTTCATATGTTATTCTTCCTAATTGATATTTAGGAATGAGATCCACAGGGTACAGAGAATAAGAACAAGTATCTTTCTTCATCTTATTTTTCAAGGACCTTTCAGATTTATTAAGGGCTTACATCTATATGAACATGGTGGAATACCCAAAATCACGATTAGGGTGGTTGAGAAATTGACAGATTTCTAGAATAGAACATTTCCAATCAGGATTCAGGAGACGCCCAACAAAGAAAATTTCCAGATGCAGAGGTAGAGTCAGAAAATTCAGGCAAACGGTAGAAAGAGTATTTAATCCATTTGTCAGGAACAAACTTCAATAACATAGAACCAAACTAGAAAGCAAAATGCAGACCCAAATACACCACACACACATTACACCATGTATCAGTATGCTGGACATAAGACTCCTCAGGTCAAGTATGGCCCTGGAATCAAACTACTGCTGAGATCCATTTATCCATGACAGAGCATGTGCAATAAGAAATTCAAATGTCACCTTGTGAAATCTGGGGAAAGTATAAGGCACATATTAACATCTTCCAATTGTTATTGTTTACATAAAAATTAGGGTCCATGGAAACATGTGGAAAATATTTATGGACCATTTTCCACTATGCTTAAAAACTTTCATTGTACTTTTACTTTTGATAGCCTTGCAAGTTGGTGTGGAAGAAAGAGCACAGCTATAACACTAGTACTTATTTTAAAGAAGGATAAGCCTGAGGGGAGTTTGGTAAATAAATAAAAGGAGCAATGAGATGAACAGCACTAGTACTTTAAAATATTCCACCATACATATCCATTTAGGGATGGAAAGGATACTCCTACAAAAGTTACCTGCACAAAGAGGTCAGAAACTGGCTCATCCTAAAAAATTATCATCAGTAATGACTAAGTATAATAGTAGAAAACTATAAACAACCATGCAACAGGCCACAATAAGCTGAAAAACTAGAAACACATGGAACACATGAATCTCACAAACATGATATTGGGCAAATCAAGCCAGACACAAAAATGTCACATAGTCCATGTATAAAAGGCTCAAAAATAGGCAAAACAAATTCCTTTAGTCTAAGTAACAGTCATCTTCCCAAGGAGTAGTGACTGGAAAGAATGACACAGAGATGTCTGGGGTGCTATTTATGTTTTGTTTCTTGATCTAGAGGCTGGTTACACACTTCCTAAAAATTCATCCAGCTGTGTGCATATGATCTGTTCACTTTTCTGTATGGATTTTCCAATTCCATTAAAAATATTCAAGAAATATTTCCCATCTTTCTTCCATGCAACTCTGTTGCCTAAAGCAATATTAGGCAGTTTTTCCACCAAGGACCTGGTGTTCAATGAGTCTGAGGAAAGCTGGGAAAGAGACATTTTAGATTGCCATGCTGCAGGATGTTTTCAGAAATGAGTGCGATCACGTCAACTCTCCCTGCAAGGCATTTACCCCACTCATTCTGCTCTCTTCAGTTTCTCTCAGGATCCTAAATTTTGGTCAAAACAGAAGCTGCATAAAATACTGTGGGTCTGCACATACATTTCACCCCAAGTGGAACAAAAGCATTTTGAGCCTACACTCTGTGATAAACCAGTCTGGATCTGCAGCGCCCCCTTTGCCTGCAGGTTGCACATTTAAAACATGGCAGTGCCTGCCCTTTGAAGCACATGCTGCAGCGCTCCTGACCCCATGTGACATCAGGGCAATGACCTATGTCATTTGCAAATGTGAGACAGTGGAAGTATGAAGCAAAGCAGATTTTCAAATATGCCCAGTTTTCCACAATTGTACTTTCAGAGCTCTCAAGTGATCTCAATATTCTTCATGCATTTCTAGATCAAAAATCAGTTTCTTCCAAATCCTTGAATGCTATCATTAGTTGACTCTTATAATCACCTTATTTTTCTAGTCACGTATGTCAAAACACCGTGGTTTCTTACAGTTAGTATATTGCTTGTTCACAGTGGGACAGGCAGCTGCAGTCATCAGATTCCTATTTCACGTTTCACTATTTTTCATGTTTCTTATGGTGAAGAAGGTTGGTGGAATTTGAAGGCTTTCTCTGTGCACATTCACAAAAGTAAACAGTATACTGACGATGTATTGTGTTCTTTTTTTTTTTTTTTGGTTTTTCTCCGGTACTGGGAACCGAACTCACGACCTTGCGCTTGCCAGGCAGGCGCTCTTGCCGCTGAGCTAAATCCCCAGCCCTATTGTGTTCTTATTTTAAAGGGATTTTTGGATTTGGTTTGGTTGTAACTTTATCTCTTTAACTTGGCTTGACCAGATATCTGGTTTATCTGTGTCTATTCATTTTCTATCAAAAGGAGATAATGGCAATCACTTAAACATAGGCAATGACTTTTATGGGATGGGAGCTGGGAGAGGAAATGTGAATGTTAAAAATGCCAAACTATTTGCTTTAAACCCATAGTTTCTCTTCTAGGCATCTGAGCACCAAGTCTTTTTATTTTATTTGCTACGATCCTAATCAGACATACCACACACCACCCACTGTTCCAATTTAATGAGGAGAAGAAAAACCAGACAGGGCATTCCAAAATAATGTTTTAAGCCAAGGCATTCCTAATAGCCAGTACCCTAATTATATTATATTGATTTCCAACATTATAATTCAATTATGTATTTCAAAGAAGATCTAAAACAAGGTAACTAATGCTGTGATGTCCAATTTAGGGAGAAATCATTTGGGTTGGAAAATATGACTTCATATTTCAAAGTATACTAAGAAGGCCATACTGAGAACACCACTTTGTGCTATGTTCAGTGGGTAAATAGTAAGTGTGATTATGCTTTAGACTGCAAAAGAAAGTAGATAAAATAGAGATACAGATAAAATTAAAAGAAAACTGTACAAATCTTAACTCTTGTATCCATACTTACACAATCCTAAATCAGAGTTGAGAGGTGTATAACGAAGCCTGCTAGACAGAGTTTATATTGAAGACATGGTGAGCGGTCTTGAAAATAATATTTTAAATGTGTTTGCTCCAGAACAAGGGAAAACCACCAATTGAACAAAGAACTACAAGAATGAAAAGTTTACTTAGGAGCAAAAATACTGAAAAGTTTTCATCAGAAATAATTTCTAGCACTGTGAAAATGAATAGTAATTTTCACGATTGGCTAATTATGTTCACACGACAAGCAATTGCACCTACCTCATTTAAGTCTTGCTGAGTTTCAAAAGCATCCTTTGGCCAAATGGCAGCCCTCTGGTCTATTCTATAAAATACAAAGAAAAATTATTTCCATTTAAAAGAAACCTTTCCACACCACACATGTGAATTTAGCGGCTACAGATCTGGCCATTCCTCCGTTAAAATCCCTTAGTAGAAGCCCACCAGCAGGAGAATAAAATCTAGACTCCTCACAATAGCCTGGGGCACATTAGAGCCTCTGAACTTCCCTATGCCACTCTCACTCTTCTCCACCCCCTGCAGCCATCCTGCCCTTCCGTTTCATTAACACTCAGGGCACTTGCTGTCCCTGGGTCTAGACTGTTCTCTCCGAGATCCGTACACAATGGACTTTTCTCATCACATAAACATCAGCTTGGCTCACATGTCACCTCCCATGGAGGCCTTCTCGACCTCCCTAACCAGAAACAACCCCCCTCGCCAGCATACTGTCCTGTGGATTTTCTTCTTTGCACATCTTACTATATAAAATCACATGTGTTTATTGGCATTTCTACACTATAATGTAAAAGAAAGCATTAGTTACGTCTCTTTTCTACACTGAAAAATTCTTGGTACCCAGTACAAGTTCAGTAGTTTTTTGAGTGAATGGATGTGATCCAATACAGTGTTACAGAAAGATCTATTCCCTGAAGTCAGCTTTGGAAATTTCATCCTGTCTCCTAGTCGACACAGTTAAGTGTCCTAGTTATTGCTGTTATATAGTAAAGCTGGGTGTTGCCACTGCATAGAGCCCAGTGGAAGAAAAAATACTTCAAGCATATCACTTGGAGTTAATTTTCTTTAGTTAAAAAACTTCCATTGCTGGCAGATTCTTAGGTCCAAGTCATGATTTGTCCAATTCTATGGCCCAGTGTCACATGTTATATTGCATTCAAGTTTTGTGAAGGAGTTTGTATGCTGTTATATAATTAACATTAAATTACAGTTATTATCTTTATAAAAAGGCCAGCTATCTTAATGAATAAGAGATTTAGTAAGTTGCTTATAAAAAGATTTATTTTTGGATATAATTATCTAGTTATTATTCTGTGTCAATGTGAACCTTGAAGAAAGTGTGTACATATTCTCTGACTGGTCCACAGGGTTAATGATCCCCATATGTCATACTGCACTTAGGAATGCACATTTAGAAATACCGTGAGCCTCACATCTTCAAAATATTAAGAATTTCTTTCAGGCCACAGGTGTTGCTAACTGTGCAAACAGTTTACTTCTAATGAGAAAAGTAAGCAGATGGTAAAGCCAAAATATTGTGAAGGTCAGACTGATGCCTTCCACACCTTCACACCAGCATTTCCCTCTTGGGTAAGACAGAAGACTTAAGCTCCCAATCCTGAGCTCAGGCATAGACAGTTCAAGTGAGAAAAGTGAGTAAGAAAAAAGACTGCTGGCTTGCCTACCCTCCATCTCTCAGTCTCCTGAGCCACCAACATAGAGATGTCAGGGCTTCAGAAAGCCAAAGTCTCCCTTCCCCACAAAATAGGCACAAGGACTCTCAGAGGTAAGGATTACCACATCACACTCACTAACAGCTAAAGTTATGAGTGATTCATAATTTCTGCATAACCTCTGGTCATTCTCAAACTATTTTTCTATAGGGTTATGATAGCAACAGATAAATGAAAGGGTAGTGCTGTTTTAATGGAGTGAATACTTACCAATTTATGATTTTAAAACATCAATGTCTCTAGGGCTTTGGTCTTAGTTCCCTGTGAATGAGTGGCAGCAAACACTACCGGAAGGGAGCAGAAGTATCCTTTGTGAAAACTACAGTATGCATTATAGAGATGTAGAAAGGAGTCTATAATAGAATTACATAATCTTCCAGAGGTGAATCTCCAGAATAAGTCTAAGAAATGCAGTCTAAAGTATCAGAGGTGCTTTAATTTATGAATCATCTGAAAGCCTTCCACGTGCAGCTACCATGTCGAAGAAATAACAACAAACAAGCAGACTCTGTGCCTTTAAGGAAGCTTAAGATCTAATGAAATCTAAAAACTAATGAACATACAGCCTTGAGACTATTTCAGCAAACTGAGGGTCTGGGCGCATTAGCTGATACTAGAATGTTAGAGAGGTAAACACAAGTAAGAGATATTTTCAAAGATAAAAGCAACCAAGAGATGTTGGATGTGAATTCAAACAATGGAATGAAAGACTGGTGCAATGTTTGGAGCTTATGTGACAAGAAAGTGACAGGCAGTGGAGGTAGAAACAGACGTAATTTGAGAGCATACAGAAAGGTAATAAAGACAGGCAATCCATGGTTGCAGAAGATATTCAAGGTTTGAAGTAAGGCTAAAATACAGAAGTAAAATTAGCTGACTAGGGTTCACTGGAGAACTACAGCACACTATGAGCAGAGTGCCGGCGACAATAATTTCAGTGACCACAGATAGGGACCTATAGGCAGGTTCTACACCAGTTTGTACCTTATTGTGTGATCAGAGCCTAGTATGGTACCTGACATGGTGCATGTATCATTTTGGATGGATGGATGAAGAATCACAAGCCAGATGCAAGAATGATTTTTGGTGTATAACTTACTAGGTGTGTATTCTTGAACAATACATTGACCTTTCTAAGACTCAGTTTTCTTGTGTGTCAGTTGAAGATAATTAACAGCTGCCTTACAGAGTAATTCATGATGTAAAGGATAATTCATGAATAATGAATTGTTTTACAGTCAGCTATAGTAAACATGATACATGGATTTTACAATTATAAAAGCATGGTACTAGAATATTTGGACAATTAAGATAATTATGTTTTCATAGTAATAATAGTAACAATAATAATACAATTCCTATTAACAAGAAGAAAAAGAAAAGCAATCAGGTCCACTGAACATGTCATTGCAACAAACTGTTTTGGAAACAAAAGAAAGACAAATATTTAAGAAAATACTGGAACAACACTAAGGAGGCAAGAAGCTAACCAGAATTATCACTCTAAATACCAAAGAGAAAGAAGTTATAATGAAGAGGAGCATCAAAAGGAGTCTAACAATTCACCAGCCTTTATTATGCCAGGATGGGTGTGCCAGGAAGTTCCCTCACATCATTTAATTTAATAACTGAAGTAACCAGATGAGACTAGATTACATCCATTTGACCTAGGCACAGAGAGGGCAGTCAAATATATTTGTCTACTCATTTAACAAATATTTATTAAACACTGACTCTGTGCCAGGTAGTACTGCAGGTGTTGAGAAGAAAGCAGTAGACAAAGCAAAGTATGACATCATGGAATCTGTATTCTCCTGGAAGGACAGAAGAGAATAGAAAGAGAGAAATTAGTGATGGTCTGCAGGGTACCAGATGCTCAGCACTGAGGAGAAAAAGAGAGCTAGAAGGAGAGAATGGAGGAGACAAGAGAACTGCCCAACGCACACTGTCAGAAAGTATCAGTCCCAGAGACTGTTCCCCCGGAAGTACCAGTTCCTTTACAATGACAATGGAAACAGTACACTGAAAATAACAAAGGGTCTGGTACAGCAAGAAAAAGAAACAGAAGCTTCTCACTGAAGGAATACAGTGATGAAAAGAGAAGTAAAACAGTAGCCTATTACCTCAAACTACCTTCTTTCTAAAGCCCTTAAAGATACTGCTCAAACCATATACAACCAACCCTGCCAAGAAGCTGGCCTATACACAAAAGCTCTATCACAGAAAATACACTCTCCAATTCCCTTGCCCTTGCCCACAGCAATAATAGGAAAGTAACTAGTGCATTTATATTAAATGCATGCTTTGTTAAGGGGGAAAAGATGGATGAGTTCTCTGACAATTCTATTCTAACCTTGTTCTCTACCCAGGCTTAAGCAATGGGAAATGTAACCAACTTCTCAGAGACCAGTTATGGTCATCAATCCTGAAGAGTGTGTGAGTTCCCCCAAAACCATTATCATTACTACAGCTACCATCATCACCATCACCAGCACACACCACCAGTGCCATCATTGTCATCACCAGAATCACCACTGCCACCTCCACAACTACCATCATTGCCACCATATATGCCACCATTGCTACTGCTGTTACTACCACCACCACTACCACCGTTACCACTATATAATTCAAAAGAAAAAGTATTTTCAATGGAGAAATGCAAAATTTAATTATGTGCTGATATTAAAAGAGATTCTCTCTGGATGTTGATTCCAAAGTAGTGTTCAGCCAATATAAATGCAATTTTTCTAAAAATTGTTGGCATTTCTATTTTGTCGGGACCCTAAAGCATGTGCTGAGTCAGCCTGTAGGGTTAGCCTGCAGTGGACCTCTCTTGGGAAGTGTAATAGATTTCAAAACAGCAAAACCAACCAAGCATTAAAGTATTTTTCTTGGCCTAAGGACAGTGTCAAACCACAAGATGTGATCATTTGCAAAAAAGCCCTATTTTAGCTCAGGAGTTTATGTTCATGTCAACAGTTTAACCATCTAGAATTAAATTTGTCAAGGAAAATGTCCCCTCTCTTAGTGAAAATTTCCCAGCTAGCCAATGGCTCATGGAGACACTGAGAGTTATCTAAACCACTACTGTCCCTCAAATCCAATGATCCATTTACTACCAGTCTTTCAGTTTCTTATACAAAATAACTTCTGAATGTGTCATCACCCCTTCATCTTCACCACTGCAGTGTTAGGCCAAGCCAGCATCATCTCCCATCTGGGCTATCTAGATGGCAACTTTCTTTCTCCCTGGGCCCCTTTACCTCCCCTCTGTCCTCTCCAGTCCATCTCCCACACAAAATTTTGTCACTACCCTTTGCACCCCTCCCTTAAAATGAAGACCAAAATTCTGAAAGTGTCTTACAAAACCCTGAGGTGTTTAGCATCTGCCTATCTCTTCAGTCTCTACTGGCGCCATGCTCCCTTCTGCGCTTGGTCTACCTGACATTCCTCCCATTCCCCTGGAAGTACCAGTTCCTTTACAACTTTGCCTCCGGCTGGACTGTCCCTGTGCCCGTAATGCTCTTTCACATCCATTGTCTCTTCTAATGAACTTATTTATGCTTCAGAG